CAAGAGAGCATAGGAAAGCCTTAGATGGGGAGAACAGCTAGATATACAGGTGGGAGACCCCTGAGTTACACATTGCACCTTTAAATATCCAAAATAAAAATGTTAGAATTTTGATTATGATTCTGACACCCTTCCTACTATTTACTGGTATTACCGCTTCTTCTTTTACTACTTCTTCTATTATTTATACTATATTTTTACTAGTCTGACAAATGTGACAACTTCAATATTTCTTCTCTTTCATTTTCTTCTCGCAAACCCTCAAAGTATGAATCCTTTTTTCAACCTTAATTAAAAGAGGAACAATCGGCTATGAGTCATTGCCAGATGCATAAAATGGAAGAAAAACACATCGATAACACCAAATAATAATTACAGACTTATTAAAATGAGAATAGTAACTCATAAAGACAACGATACGAAATAAAAACTTTATTAGAAATGATGCAGGTGTAGTAACTTAACTAATATGTTAAAGCAACAGTGTGTAACTTTCTAGAGATGATACCGTATATCACATATGAAAAGACTTACAGTGTTTTTCGGACTATAAGGTGCACTTCAAATTCTGTAATTTTCTCAAAAATCGACAGTGCGCTGTGGGGAAGCTGGCCCAAGTGGTCAAAATGAGAGTCCAGTGCAAAGTTGTCCTTCACCAAACCAAATTCTTTATTGGATCCTTCCAAGTCGTGGGCAAAATTATATACATATTTACAAAAAGAACTGTGCTTAACTAAACAAAAGCAACAGAAAATAACGCAACAAAAGAAAATACCCACAGGCACCTGGCTGCACTGATGGTGACCTCCCTACTGATTAAACTGCCTCTACCTATATACCCCCCAGAGAGGAAGTCCCTCCCCCTGGGTTCACACCAACTTACGGGGAAAACTGTAGCAATTTCCGTTCCTTACTGGTGTGCTGCCTTAAATTATTTTCTGAAGCCTAATCCCCCTTTTAAACTGAACAGTGCTCCAACTTAACTAGATACACTGAAACCAAAATTCTAATAACCCATTTGATAAAACAAAAAGAACCATTTCCGAGGCTTCCCTCCACATGGTCTGGGCCAACACCTCCCCCTGAGCCTATAAATATGGCTGCCAAAGGACACGCCCCCTCTTTTGTTCCCAGACCATGTGGAGTCACAGGTAAAGGTGGTAAGTTTAAACAAAAATGAAGGGATATAACCAAATAAAATGAATTTAAAGTAACTGTGTGAATGTGATCAATTAAACAAAGACTAAATAAAACAAACCCGGGATAGTTATTATTTAGCTGTTTAGTTGATATAGATAGATGTAACTGAACTAAGGTGAAAAATGGGGACAAAGGCCCTCTTTGTCACATGCGCCTTATGTATTAATTCTGGTTGTGTTTACTGACCTCGAACCGATTTTATGCAGTACGTGGTGCTCAAAAATCTGTCAAAATGTTTTAGTACGACTTTGAGAAGCTACGAAGCCACACCCCTCGATGGATTGTAGGAGCATTATGGCTACTGTAGTCAGGAGCCTCACGGAGCCATGTGGTTTTAAGTGTCTTTTCTGTAAAACATAAACAAATGTGCACAAAGCTGAATTAACACATTATTACTCAATGTACATTTGAGACCTCCTTATAGGAAATAAAACAAACTTTAATGATCCACCCACATTCGCATTCATAATAAACATTCACCAAGACAGGGAGGCAACGCCGGGTGAATTACACCACGATCTGCCAATGGATCATGGACGCCTGGGCTAAGGGATCAGTCTCAAGTGTCGTCCATTTGTTTCACTAAATGCGCCTTATAATCATGTGCGCCTTATGTATGAAAATAGACGAGAGAATTCAACATTATTGATATTGTGCCTTATTAATCCGGTGCGCCTTATAGTCTGAAAAATACGGTACTTAAGAACATCTTCCATGGAGATGTGTTGTATGCCATATTGTGGAATGGTATACAACACATGGAAACAAGTAGGAAGAGACCCTCCTTGAGTCAGGTTTATGGAGATGCAAGCCCGTGCACAGTAAAGCTGCACGTTTGTCAGTGAACAACCAAAATGAACCAAACATGCTTCTATTGCTCTCCTTAAAAGTTACATACTCTGACTTTAGTAAACTATTTATTAACTATTCGTCCATTATGAGTTAAGTCTTTTTCCTTATGTACTTTTAAAAATAAAAAAAATATAAAAATTGTAATCTTACTAAAATGCTTAGAAGTAAAATAGGGATGTGTATTGCCTTGAGTCTGATGATACGATACATATCATGATATCTATGCCATGATGCAATATATCAGGATATATCCCGATACTAAAACAGCAGACGATATAGTCCAATTCACCAATAATTACTTCCAATAATATTATTATCAACTAAACCTTCACCAGAACCACAAATTGTATGGAATATAAATTATTGCCTTTTAAAAATCACGAGAACAGTGAATGCAACTAATGGATTTTAGTGAAAAATATTGTTTAAAAAATGGATTCAGATGCATTTTGAATTGATTCGAGAATTGTGCAATGAAGTATCATGATATATCACTAAATCAATGTTTTCTTACACCCCTAAAATAAAATAAATAAAATTAAAAGGCCTATATTACACAATTTTTCTGATGTTCTGATGTTGTTTATTCATCACAAACAAACCTAGAGTTGTGTTTTGTTTCATTCACACACACAAGCCCTGCATATTTAGGCTCAGTTCTTCTCTCAGTAAACGAAAAACACTCTGTTCCACTTTGTGATGTCATGTGGTAACGCACTAAATGCTCCACTGTGTTTTTAAACTCCATACTCCTTCACTACAATCATTTGGATAATTTCCGCCCTGGAATTTCCGGTCTCTACTGAACTAAAGGTAAAAGGTAGCTGTGAAAACTACCACTTCATGACGTCACAAGGTGGAACTGAGCATTTTGAGCTTTGGAGATGCAGACAGACTAATAACAAAGTGTTACTCAAACATGTGTGAATGAAACAAAACACAACTTTGGGCATATTTTTGATGACGCAACAGCAACATAACATGACTTAAACCTCACAGTGTAATACAGGACCTTTAATATAACATCATAATAACTACATACACCTCCACAATGCATTTTGCTGCGGTGATGTCCAATCCCAGCTGTTATATACCTGCACACATAAGTCAGCATCTTTCTCCATTTCAATAAAGCCAGTATATTTGACACGTCCCCTTTCACAGCCTGTACTCCTGAATGCAAACACACGAGATAAAGCTCCAGCGCTGCAGAGTTTTGTTGACGGTAAATGGAATATTGTGTCGTAAAACGGGAGCAGGGCTGTATAACTTACATGCTTCGTGAATTTGTAATCCTCGCCGCGTACGGGAAGGCATCGGGGACGAAAAGCACACGACACGGAGATGATCAAATGCGCTTCACTAAACAAAATGTTGCTTTAAAGTTGTGCGGCTGAGAACAGAAGAATAATAATAAGGGGACAGGCTCGGCGCAGCATGTCCCAGTTTAGAGCAGAGTGTCGGAGCTCCTGTGTGTGACTTTCATGTGAGAGGGGAGCGACGGAGAGCACAATTACCTCTGTGACACATGTAGAAGAAGAAATGGTGTCTTAGTTAAAGGTGTACTCATGGGTCATTATTAATAACTGGATAGGGTGTTGCTGCTTGTAGATGCCTCCAGTTGACGTAGTTGCCACTCACTGGTACTTCAGCGGAAAAAAATTCCCTGGGCTGAGACTGGATTTTTCTCCCAGAGCGCAATTTAATCATAAACTGCTCGTGTTCGGCTGACAGGGCACCTATAACTTTCAAAAATGTCGGATTTTGTTGCGATTTTTACCTATTTTTAGATCATAACATTTTTCTCACCTCAAAATCCTTTTTTTTTTTTTTTTTTTTTTTTTTTTTTAATTGAACATTTTTATCATTAACAAACAGAGTGCACTGTATTGAATAGTACCATTATAGACATGACACTAAGGTGGACACATCTGAATGTCAACCCCCACCTACTAATAATATAAAATTGATAGTAGTAGATAAATTAATTAAATACATAATGTAAATGAATACAAAGAAGAATAAGAAAAAAAAAACTAATTAAAAAATAAATAAAAAAGTAAGAAGCAGAGATGCAAAAGGAGGAAAGGAGCCCATAAAGGTGAAAAGCTTACGTGGAATACTCACCTCAAAATCCTTCAGTTGTCTTAAAAACACTAGCGCTGTCTCCGCTCTAGCTCCTCTCTGATTGGTCAAAGCGATCACGTCATACACAAGAAAAAAAAAGAGCACTACTGCACATGCTCAATCGGCCCAGAGCCACCGGAAGTACCTCGCCGGGCTAAAGACTAATCTGGAGTTTGGAGCTTGGCCCATTGACTTGAATGGACGACCATTTTGAGACCCTGGGGTTTGTGGGGTTCACCTGCCTGTATCCGTGGAGATTATTCATTTGGCTGGAATGTTTCATAGTACGGCAGTGAAATTATCTGTCTTACATTAATTTTATTGCAAATGTGTTTTTTTTTAACTGCACAAAAAAGAAACACATAAAAAAAACATGTGTTGTTACTGTGAGTGGGGTCGCCTCTCCACAAATCTGACCTGTAATCTGGCCCGGTCATGCCTCCTGCTTGTCTCCACGGAGATAAATAAGTTTAATACTGTGGTACATTCCAGCCAATGCCAACAAGAGGTGGTCATGATAAAAAGAAAAGTAACACACACACACACACACACACATATAATTTTATTTAATTTATTTATTCTGTTAGTTTCTGTTAGTTTTTTTTTTTAAGTAAAATGTTTTACATTGCTATGTAAAGCACTTTGGAAACTGTCTTTTTTATAAAGTGCTACACAAATAAAGTTGGATTGGATTGAACTGGAAAATACTTCTCATTAACAGCTGTTCTCGTTCTTGTACAGTTTGGAATGTTATCTGTTCAAGATGAATGATGTGCTCTAAATATGTTCTTAACATAAACTCTTGATTGTCCTGTGTGCAGGGAACCCGAGCCTGGTGAGCAGCGTGGTGGTGACGGTTCAGGTTCTGGACGTGAACGACAACCCTCCAGAGGTGCCCTCAGACGAAGAGGTCATCGTGTGTGAGAGCTCCAGACCCGGACAGGTCAGGAGGAAACTACAACACACTCTCTCATCATCTTTTTCTCTTTTTCTCTCTTTTTTCTTTCTTTCTTCTTTCTTCTTCTTTCTTTTCGCTTTTTCTCTCTTGTTCCTTTTCAACGCCTCTCTCTCACTTTTACCTCTCTCTCTCTCCCAAACAGAGGTACAGGATGTTGTTGTTTTGTTTTGCCTGGAATGTTTCTCAAAATGGCATAACACTTAGCAATTGCCATGGCAACTCCATTAACCAATTTATTTATTATTATTATTATTCATTTATTTATTTATTTTTCCAGTAAAACATGCTTTTTTTCTATTACTAGCTCAGCGACAACTTAAAGATGCATTGCGTAACTTTTCTGATGGAGGGTATATCATTTTTTTTTTTTTTTTTTTTAGAGATGTTATTGCTTCATCTAGAATGTTTCACAGTATGGTATTAAACCTTTTTATTTTTATAGAGACTAAACCAGGCCAAGTTACAGCTCAGATCTGCGGAAAGGCGACCCCACTCACTGTCAGAATGTCTGTTTTTCAAGATGTAATTGAATAATAAATATAAGGTAGAGCTGTTTAATCTCACACTGTGGAACATTCCAGGCAAAGCTATGACATGTCCAGAGAAACAAGCAGGTGACAGACCTCCCACCCAAAAGTTACATAGTGCACCTTTAAACACTAAAATTAGGACTGTTGCCATAGCAATTAACAACTTAAAACAAAATCTTCTCGCTTTTGAATGGAGATAAAAAAATCTTCAAAATACTGCACCACATGAATAATGAATACTGTATAATACCACTAGTATACATTAACAACAGCAAACTGCGACTCTTCTACTACGTTAAAGCCCTGGATAAAGGCGCACTGTGGAACTTCTAAGATAAGGTGAAAGGTCCGGTATGTCGTTTATTGGCCAACGGGGATAACTGGTATATTAAGCTTTTCCCAAATTCCTTAGGAAGAAGGGCAATCTTTCTCCTTGATAAAATTCACCAAACATTCTCTTCATTCTGGCTTTAAATCCTCGATCTCGGGAATCGTTGCCAATACTGCTCTTCGCTGATTGGCTGGTGCCAGAACTCACACTTCTGGGGTTTTTGCGAATCATCTAGTGTATTCTGATTCCTGACCTAGTCACTGGAGAGTAATGAAATCGAGCGGAAGCACTAGGTGGCACCAGCCTGGCTAAGAGTGTGTATGAAGTAGGGATGGGCATTCGATGAAATTTTCTTAATCGATCGTCGGAAGAATTAACGATCGATTATCGATTAATCATTAACGTTTTTATATTAAAATGATCATCATTATTATTACTATCTGCACTACTAATCTGCATAAATAAATTCAACTTTACGACATATAAACTGTAACGACTCTAGAGCCACATCAATCGGTTTGAGATTATAATGTTTAATGTTTAATTCAGTTTTGCGCAACTCTCACAGAAACGAAACTTAAAACCGCATCGCTAATTTGCATAAACTCAGCGAAAATAAAACTGCAGCTCTTGTGTCGCTGATGCGGTTCAATTTCTGTCAGATTAAAAGACATGATTCAGTGGAATACAGGTTAGTGTGACCATATTTGCGTTTGTCAAAACCAGGACACCATACGGGGAGTGGGGACTCGTCATCGACATTGCGCGACTCTCACCTGGTAAAGCTTTTTCCCACTGGACACCGAAACATATGTTCCTGCTTTGTTCACTGTGCACATGGACTCACACTTGTCCCGAACGCAACGGAAAGCATGGAATTTCTTGTAGAAGTCATCGTTAAATACACATTTGTGCTTCGGTACGTTGCAGACTCACCGAATGTTTGTGTCTCGCTCCTTCTGAGTGCAGACAGCTACATGTACAGACCCCTGTTTGGTCACGCTACGCACAGCAACCTACATTCGGTTTGTCGATTAAAATTAACGTAATCGACGAAATTCTTAATGATCAATTATCGATTAATCGATTAATCATGCCCATCCCTAGTATGAAGCGCAAAATAACTGTTCAAAACACAATCAAACTAGAATCTTCCTCGGCGCATCAACCCGGTCTCTCTTCGTGATCTTTTGCGCATGTCTCCTGCAGAAAGAGCCTCTGTCCTGTCTGGGATCATGGCAGTGTCTCGTAGGATTTCAGTAGATTTCAGGTTCTCCCGGGGGTTAGTTGTGTTGATCAGGTATGAGTGGATGTCCGTTTACTAAAGTTTGAGATGTTTCTTCTCGTTATTTACGCACTCACCTGCATTTAACACATACAGGTAAGACGTATCACACTCACTAATGTTAATTTAGCATCATAACTTATTTTATCACACGGCAATATACTGTTTTAGTGCTCTGACAATATCACTAGCAAACACTATAACTTCATGTTAACCCGAGATCTATGTGTTAACTGCATAGACAGCGGCGTTTTCTACACTCAGGCTGCACGTATCTAGCCAGGCTGGTGCCACCTAGTGCCTCCGCTCAGTTTCATTTCTCTCCAGCGACTAGGTCAGGAATCGGAATACACTAGACGGTTCGCAAACACCTCGGAAGTGCAAGTTCAGGCACCAGCCAATCAGAGAAGAGCCATACATTCAGTGTTGTCAACGATTCTCGAGATCGAGGATTTAAAGCCGGAACAAAGAGAATGTTTGGTGAATTTCATCAAGGGGAAAACGTTATTGTCCTTCGTCCTACGGGATTTGGGAAAAGCTTAATACAACAGTTAGCTCCCTTAGTGGCGCATCACATACGTCACGACCAAGTAACAGCGATTGGTTAAATGATAAAAAGTACCTGCCGACTGTCGAGTGAACGAATTCTAACACTGCGAAGTCTGAGGTTTCTACGAAGTGAAACCAACTGATGAATCAGGCTGTGTCGCCAAACCACAGACCGTATGTATGAATGGACAATGTGCCAAACAAATAATCCGTCCTTATATTCACCGCATCGTTGTATAAGACGCAGGGTTCAAAGTGTGAGAAAAAAGTAGCGGTTTAAAGTCCGGAAATCACGGTAGTTACACAGCGCAGCTTTAAAACTTTGACCCTAAAAACAGTGAAAAGTCACTCCAACATGAGTGAACCGGGCCGAGGTCACTGTAGAGTCATTTGGCCGCGGCTCTGCTCCATCATTTTTCATTCAGAGGGAGTATGTTAGCACTAAACCATGACAGGCCCCAATCGAAGCTCATCCCGCTCCCCTCGCCGTCCTCTCTCCGTCCTCTCGCCATTCATTTAAATTAAGCAGCTTTTTGGAGATACGCCGCAATCAGCACCACGGAAATGACTGAACGCTGCAGTGTCCACGGGCGACTGGCTAAAGACACAACTAAATACATTTTAATAGTTGGACTCGCAAGAAAAGTTTCAATTAAAAGTTTGAATTGGTGAGAATTTGCTGATTTGATCATTTCGGATGGAGACCAATTTGAGTTTCAGCTTTGTGTTTTTTTCAGGACTTTACCCCATTCAGAAGATATAATAATTTGGCTTACGTTGTTAATCGCTATGGCAACAGTCCTAATTTCTCGTCATTCTGAAACCCACTGGTGAAACTCTATAGGAAATTCACAGTTAAAAAAAAAAAAAAAAAAACATCTAACACCCCATTCAAAAGTGAAAATAATTTGAGTTGCATTGTTAATCGCTATGGCAATGGTCCTAATTTCTCATCATTCTGAAACCCATTGATAAAATTCTATGAGAATTTCACAGGTTTTTTTTGAAAGAAATGTTTATAATGTACAAATGCTGAAACTTTTTGAACTTTATTTGCAAGGGAATGACTCCACAAATTTGCTATTTTAAAGATGGCCTGTTATGCAATTATCTGTTTTCTTTTCTTTGTATGATGTTTTAATGTTCCCCTCATCAAAAACACACCAGAAGAGGTTTTAGATGTCATCCACGCCAGGCATGTTTGAGTAATTTAGCGATCTCTCCTGGGCCCTATTCAAACCCTTCTTACTAGGGATGTAATAGTACACAAAAATCACAGCTCAGTACGTACCTCGGCTTTGAGGTCAAGGTTTAGTTCATTTTCGGTACAGTTGAGAACAAAATGTAAAATAATTAGCTTGTTGTTTATTTGTGTTTTTATGAAACCAATAATTTCTTTTAACATTATACAAACAGGAAAATTAAATAAATGCAAAGTGTGAAGCGAACCGAGGGGGACAACCGTAGTTTTTTTGAGGATCCATGTGGTTCGGAGGGACGTAGTCAAGGCGGGGGGCAATTGTTGTCAAGGAGGCCGCCCTAACTATAAAGCGCTGCTGGAAACACTGCCACCCCAATCACAGACGAGTTCACTTGTAAAAATGAAAGAGCTGAGCCTTCCGTGTAGCTGCACGTGTAGTGGCGTAATGTTAACACACACAAATTGAGCAAATTCACTCATGCACAGCGCTGCACCGAACCGAACGTCATACATGTACTGTTACACCCCTACTTCTTATGGTTAGTTTAACGATTCTGTCCAAGGCTCTGCCCACAAGCCTACGTCACCCATGCCTCCACACGATTATTCTTCATAAAAATATAAAACATGATACAAAACTGTACACAGCAACTTCACAAACCTGATGCAATGTGCAGTAGTTTCATTAACAGGTTGCATGCTGATTGTGTTGTGATAGCGCTCTGAAGGGGGAGGTACTTAGATAGTAGTGGGGGGGGGTCAAAGGCTATGTTCAGAATGCAGGGCTTAATGCTCAATTCAGATTTTTTCGTGAAAAACTATTCGTTTTTGAGGTCTTTCAAATTTTCAATAAAATGTAACTTGTATGTGACCTTCAGTGTGAACTTTAAACACCGACATGCGCATTGAAGGACACGGCGATGTCACATTAAGTAAGCGTGCTCAGTGTTTACGGAAGTTGCCTAAATGCTGGGCTTGTCTCCAAAATACGGTCCAGTTCTTCGTAAAATGGACAGGTTAAACGTCCATGACCGCTTCGTTTGAGTTTTTAGCCTCCTTGCATTTGACTCGCAGGCTCTTTATTTTTCA